CTCTGTTCTATTTTTCACTTCTATGAGATCATAGAAGAGATCACAGGTGCTTCCCCATATGAGTGAGAACACGTGGTACTTAGCTTTCTGTTCCTGGCTTATTTCACTTAACTAACGTCTTCCAGTGCCCTCCATGTTGTCACAAATGACAGGATTCATTCTTTTTTATGGGTGAACAATATTCCATTGTGTATGTGTACCCCATTCTCTTTATCCATCCATAAGGAAATTTTTTAGGAGGGCTTCCCCTCAAGGAATTTTTTGTAAGGGTTAGTTTAGTTAAATTAAATGACTTAGTCTGAATATCCACTTACCCCATCACAGAGAATCTGCAATATTTCTCAATATGCTGAAAGCAAATTAAAGTGAGCAGGTGCCACTGTCAACCTCTTCATTTTGGACGTTGCCCGCTTTGCTCAGGAGACCTCATAGCTGTCTGAGATGCAACCTGTTGAGGGCAACAGTCTATATCAGCACACAAAATATTAATCAAGATTCAATTCTTATTTTGTAGACAAAATAAGTAGCAACGGCAGTTCTAGTCTTTTCTGCCTGCGTCTCCATGGATCATTTTTCATACTCTTTGGGTGGAGGCACAGCATTTTGGAGATCTCTGATCTAGTGAGCAGAAAGTTAGTGCACCCCAGGCTTAGTATTTGTAGTCAGTGCTGAGACATACTGCTTTCCCAATTTTTCTTCTTTTCCTTCATGCTGCTGTTGACCACCTATCCTTCTGTTAATATATATTTTCTTCATGAATGTTTTTCATTTCTAATTAAATAAAGGTCATTCTGAGGTTCAAGTAGGCCTGTGAGACTATCTCCTACTAAATGTTTATTTAAAGCCCTATTCTCAGGTTCTTAGCAAGCATCTCCATCTGCCCACAACAATTGTATGTGGAACATATAAAAATTTCTGAGTAATTCAACATCAAGTTGAAAAACACATCAAACTGGCAAAAACACTTTTGTTTAATGAGACTAGATTCTTAAAACTACCTGTGTGGCCGGGCTCAGTGGCTCACACCTGTAATTCCAACACTTTAGGAAGCCAAGACAGACAGATCATCTGAAGTCAGGGGTTCGAGACCAGTCTGGCCAACATGGTGAAAACCCATCTCTACTAAAAATACAAAAATTAGCTGGGCATGGTGACGTGCCCCTGTATCCCAGCTGCTTTGGAGGCTGAGATAAGAGAATCACTTGAACCCAGGAGGCGGAGGTTGCAGTGAGCCGAGATCACACCATTGCATGCCAGCCTGGGAGACAAGGTGACAAGAGTGAAACACCATCCCTAAATAAATAAATTAATAAATAAAACTACCTGTGCGTCAGAATTATCTATAGCACTGAGGAAAAAAAAAACCAAAACCAAAACAAAAAACCGCAAACGTTACTCATTTTTGGATCCCACTTGCATTCATTCAGATTAGGGTCAGTTATGAGTAAAGCCTTAAAATAACACCAAATTCTCCATTATAGGAGTTGATTGCTCTCTCACCTAAATGACTGCTGGAAGGCAGGGTGAGTGGCAATGGTGCTCCATGAGCTCCTCAGGGACCCAAGCTCTCTACTGCTCTTCATTCCAGGGCATGGCCTCTGTCTTCATGGTCCAGTCTAGTGGTTGCAGCTCCACCGATCACGTCTGTGTTCCAGGCAGGAAGATGAAGGAAGAGACAAAGAAAGAAATGGGCAAAGGCTGCACATCATCTGACTGTGAAGGCCAGTTCCCAGACGCTGTCATGTGACACTCCCTCTGACATCCCATTGTCTAGAACTTAGTCACATGTCCACAATTTCATAGAAGAGAAGCTGACAAATACGTTGTGTATTCTGGGCAACTATATGCTTAGCTAAAATTTGGGACATTTATTCCTACATAAGAAGATAAACTTTGGGGGAGAGCCAACCGTCAATTCATAAATCAACAACACGCCAGGCCTTGACCAGCTTTGGCCATCCCTGTCCATTTAGGATCAGTTGGAGAAGGTTTTGCCCTAAGCTCATCCTAGGGATGTCATATTACAGCTGGAATTAGCAACTGTTTGCATGTCCCCTTGGAGAATGTGGAATAGCCCTAAGTGCAGTGAAAATGTGCACAAGAGTGACTGCATGAGCTCTGCTCATGTCATCTCATGAGATGCTGGCAGGCACTCATTCTGCCAGGCTACTTTAAGTTGGGTGAAAGAGAACACATAAATATTTCAATTGAAATGCCCTGGGAGGCCCGGTGCAGTGGCTCATGCCTGTAATCCCAGCACTTTGGGAGCCCGAGACAGGAGGATTGCTTGAGCCCAGGAATTTGGGATTAGTCTGGGCAACATAGTCTCTACAAAAAATAAAAAATAAATTAAATGCCCTGGAATTCTTTGGACAAGAATTAAAAGTTCTGTTCATCTCTCTCATATTCCTCTTTCTCAGGGTGCTAGGAAAATAATATTAAAAAGAACGAACAAAATGTAATCATTTCTTATAAATTTGGTCCCAGTGGTGATCCAGTCTAAATAGAGATTTTCCCAGCCACTTTTGCCAGCCATTATTTAGAAAGATACAGCAATAACCAGAAGAGTTTTTGGCTTGAAACTGCTACACAGAGTGTCCTGAAAACAAAACTAGGAATTAGACAATTCCAGGGTATGTTGTTGATATCATTTCTATGTGGATGACAACCCCTTTGGTACACAGTATGAATGGTGTGCACTGGAGTTGTGCAATCCTGCTGTCCGGCCTGGAAGCAGTGTACTTGTCTGCTAATCTCGAAATATGTATAAGCTGGTAAGATAAGCAGACGGTACTGACGGTCCCAAGAATACTCAAGAACTATTCTGTTCTTGCATAAAACTGCTTTTAAAGGTAGTCCAGAGAACTTGATTTAATCTTATCAATGGCTACCGAAAGGGTGCAGATAATCTAGTGAGGCTGCAATATTTCTGATTTTTGGTGTCTATTTTAAAGACAAAGCTATAGCTCCCTACAGTACAGCAGAGTATGATTTGCATTAACAATTCTGTAACATCATTAATCAGGAGAATTTAGGACTCCTGACTTTATCGTTTTCGTGCACACCTGTTCCTGCTGGAAATAAACAAATAGAAACGGCAGGTGCACGGCGGCTTTACCGACTTAAGGAGCATCATTAACAGCATCTTTAAAGCTGGGCGTCTTACAGCTTCAAGGGTGTTTCCAATATATAATTCTCATCAGAGTCAATTCTCAGTAGAACATATTTTTTAAAAATGTAATCCAGAGCTTTCTTTTAAAAAATATGTTTTAAAATTATTAACCAAATCAGCCTTTTAAGCAAGTGTATTTTCAAGGACAGGAGAGGATATCCTGAAACATTTCATTATATTAACTACTATTATATGCAGGACTCAGCAAATTAAGAATTAGTTTGGCTTCATTTGATGTAAAATAAGAAGGAATAAACTCATATTTCGTCTTCCAATTTTCTCTCTCTTTTTTTTTTTTTTTTTTTTACCTTGAGATGGAGTCTTGCTCTGTCACCCAGGCTAGAATGATCTTGGCTCACTGTGACCTCTGCCTCCCAGGTTTAAGCGAGTATTCTGCTTCAGCCTCCCGAGTAGCTGGGACTACGCGCATGCGCTGCCATGCCTGGCTTATTTTTGAATTTTTGGTAGAGGCAGGGTTTCACCATGTTAGCCAGGCTGGTCTTGAACTCCTGACCTCAAGTGATCTGCTCACCTCGGTCTCCTAAAGCGTGAACCACCACGTCCAGCCGCTCTTCCCATTTTCTATTGGTCCTTAACCTTTATTATGACACCTTTTAGAATACGATGTAAGATAGGGTACCTCTTCCAAGAAACGCACTCAGATACATATACACAAACTTTACCATAACATTTCAAGGGTTATTGAGTCATAAAATCTATTCAAGGACGCTCTAGTTTCAAAACCTCAATCTAGAGGCTAGTGTAAGGTGAAAATAAATCATAAGAACTCAAATTAAAATTAATTCCAGGTTTGAAGAAAAAGTGTTTTTTTTTTTTAACATTAATTTGAAAACAAATCACTTTGGAGACAAAATCACTACTTTCAGGAATCATCTCCATTGACGTCTTTAAATTCATAAACCAAATTATATAAAATGAAGTAGTATACACTTCAAACATAATTAATTGTGCTCTGTACAATTCAAAGCACACTTGAATTTTTTGCTGGTTTTCTTTTGTTTGCTTTTTAACAATGGGAAACTTACACTCTATTCACTGAAGATTTTCACATCAGAACTTTTATCATTTTGTTTGAGTTCACAGGTGAAAATGTTGTCAAAGTTCATTTACACCACGCCGAAGGATAACATCGTCAGCCCCATTTATTTACTAACAACTTTATTGAGATATAATTCACATACCATATAATTCACTCACTTAAAATCAGTTATGTGACCATTACCACAATAAGTTCAGACCATTTTCATGAACCATAAAGAAATCCTGTGCTCCCCATTCATCACTCCCCCACAATTCTAGCCTTAGGCAACCGCTAATGTACTTTCTGTCTCTAGAGATTCGCCTGTTTTGGACATTTCATAAAAACATTCATACAGTATGTGGCCTTTTGTGGCTGGCTTCTTTTACTTAGCATAATGTCTGCAAGATTCATCTTGTAGCATGTATCAATGCATACTTTTTTTTTTTTTGAGACAGGGTTTCACGCTGTTGCCCAGGCTGGAGTGTAGTGGCATGATCACAGCTCACTGCAGCCTCAACCTCCTGGACTCAAGAGATCCTCCCACCTCAGCCTCCCAAGTAGCTGGAATTACATGCATGTGCCGCTATGTCCAGCTAAATTTCTTTTTAGTTTTTGTAGAGACAGGGTTTTGTTATGTCGCCCAGGCTGGTCTTGAATTTCTGGCCTTAAGCAATCCTCCGCCTCAGCCTCCCAAAGTGCTGGGATTACAGGTGTGAGCCACTGTGCCTGGCCCTTTATTTTTTATGGCTGAATAATAGTCCACTGCATGGATATCTCAGATTTGGCTTATCTATTCATTAGTTAATAGACATTTGGGTTGTATCCAGCTTTTGGCCATTATGAGTAATTCTGCTATAAAATTTGTGTACAAGTTTTTGTATTGACCAGCCCCTTAATTTTTAACTACACAAGTCAAAAAGTAAAAAGAGAACTCATAACAAAATTATACAAAATATGTTTTGTAACAATTTTAGATTTTTCAAGATTCAGTCATTTCCATATGTAAAATCACAAAGGCTTGTCATAACAGGGGACTGGTATCGTTACTCTATCACAGAATTGGGAACTCCTAGAAGGTTAGATGTTCTCTAAGACCCTTCTTACACAAGTTAACAACTTACTACTTTCTATCATTTTTCCGTAAACAGAAGAGGAAAAACTAGGTTGTCCCCTGCGCTTAGGGAAATGATCAACAAACATTTCCGAGGCTTGCACAGAAGTGATACATTGAGCACAATTTACCACACTACCCTGAGTTCCCCGTGCTGGTTGGAAGTACTCGGTTCCCTTACCAATTTCCAACTGTGTTTTTCTTACAACTTTAATGCTCGTTGATTGTATGTATGATTCATAAGACTTCTGATCAATGCTATGTGTGTGGGGTTGAAAGGGGTCAAAATGAATGTACGACTTAGCTGCATTTATCATTTATTAATTGATGACTCATTTCTCCAATGATCAACGCACTTGAGAATCATAACTTACGCCTGAGCCTCTTTCATCAGCTATTATGGTATTGCATTCACACAAGTTCATGCATTGAATTCATCTGATAGGGGCAGATTCACAGGCATGGGAAGCACACGCGTAAAGATCTGACCATGAACGTCATCGCACAGAAGACTCTACTGATTATTTCTTTTGCTTTGTATTTCAGAACAATCTTACTTTCGATTTTTGGATTTAATTTCACTGAAATTCAGTAAGCATTACCTGATGCTAACATGTGGGGCATAAGCTGGGAGGCCGAATCACAATTTGCTGCTGGGGGGCCCTGCCAAGCTTTGCCATTCTTTCAGGGGAGGGTTTCCCTGAGAAGCCAGCTTTTTTAGATAGTCACTGGGCTCCAGTTGGGGAATATCAGGGTTCTGCCTGTAATATTTCTGCAACTTCTCTAGAATGGTGGGCAACCCAACTGTGGAAGCATAGAACATGGGCCCGCCCCTGTGCCTTGGCCATCCGTATCCATGTAAATAGACAACATCAATGTGCTCTGGGCTAGCAGCTATCCCTTCTCCCAAGATACGGAAGGCTTCATTGATAAGTGAATATAAGCAACGCTCCAGGATCTCATCGCGGCTGATGATACGTGGTTCAATGTGATGGGTTTCTCTATAGTGTGATAGGAATTTGGAAAGCCAGGGATCAGGTTTGTGAATCCTGCCCAATGGCTTGTCATACTGATACCAGCCCTTACCTGTCTTCTGGCCAAATCGTCCTAATTCACAGAGCACATCAGGAATTGGGCAATATCTCCTATTGCCTCTTTTTCGGGCAGGAGTTCCTGGAAGCAATGTAGGTCCGGTAAGACCTTGCCCCTTTCTAGATTTCCAGCCTACATCCAACCCAGCAAGATCGGACACTCTAAAAGGTCCCATTTTAAAACCAAACTCTTCCAGCACCTGATCTACCTCCTCTGGCTTGCTGCCTTCTTCTAATAAGAAATATGTCTGATTGTAATAAGGATTCAACATTCGATTCCCCACAAATCCAAAACAGTTGCCTACAACGACCCCAATCTTTTTAATCTTTTTTGATAAGTTCATAACAGTGGCAATAGTAGTGGGGGAAGAGTATCGGCTGGGAATAACCTCTAACAACTTCATGATATGAGCTGGTGAAAAGAAGTGAGTGCCAATGACCAGGTGAGGACGATTTGTGGAAGAAGCAATCTCATCAACGTCCAGGGCTGAAGTATTGGTGCACAAAAAAGCTTCTGGTTTGCACACAGCTGAGAGTTCAGCAAAGACCTGCTTCTTCAGGCTCATGTCCTCAAATACTGCTTCAATGACTAAATCTACACCACCAAGCTCCTTCATAGATGAAGTTAACCTGGGTTTTGGTCCTGACCAAGGGTGGCCACTCTGTTGCATTTTGGATGCTTCTTTTTCCAAGACAGAGGTTATTATCTTGTTTGCAGTTGCCAGCTGGTTTTTGTCTGAGTCTACAGCAATCACAGGAATCCTGGCCGTTGCAAAAGAAAGGACAATGCCTCGGCCCATTGTTCCCAAGCCTGCAGATAAAAATTGAAGGAGAAAAAGAATGACTCAGTGGTATTGTGAACTGATAAATGTTATTCACCGGATGGAAGGCTTATGTGACAATGTGGCATTTAAAGAAATTGAAGAAACACAAATGGATTGAGTACTAGTTAAAACTCTGCACTCTGTTAAGTGTTTCAGAGGATATAAAAGCTAGTTGGATTCACACACACAAATAGAAACTATAAAAACTAACAAAAGAGTTGAACAAGATTGTAGGGTACACAATTGATATACAAAAATCAAGTATATTTCTATATATTAGCAATGAACAATCTGAATATAAAGTTAAAAAATTCTACTTATAATAGCATCAAAAAGAATAATACACAGGAATAAATTTAATGAAGAACAGAAGGATTTGTACACTAAAAACTATGAAACAATTAACAAATTAAATAAGATCGAAATAAATGGAAAAACATTAAATATTTATGTATCAGGCAACTTAATATTGTTAAGGTAGCAATACTACCCAAATTGATGTGACGAACCAACACAATTCCTACAAAAATCTCAGCTGCCTTTTTGCAAAATCAATAAGCTGATCCTAAAATTCACAGATAAATGCAAGAAAACCAGAAGAGCTAAGACAATATTGAAAAAGAAGAACAAAGTTGGAGGATTCACTCTTCCCAATTTCAAATCATATGACAAAACTATTCAAGGCTGGGTGAGGTGGCTCATGCCTGTAATCCCAGAACTTTGGGAGGCCAAGGTGAGAGGATTGCTTCAGGCCAAGAGTTTGAGACCAGCCCGGGCAACACAGTGAGACTCCATTTCAATAAAAAATTAAAAATTAGCCAGGCTTGATGGTGCATGCCTATAGTCACAGCTATTTGGGAAGATGAAGCAAGAGGATATCTTGAATCCAGAAGTTTGAGGATTGCAGTGAGCTATGATCACGCAGCACTCTAGCCTGGGTGACAGATTAAGATCCTGTCTTAAAAACAAAAAACAAACAAACAAAAAATACACCCTACAGTATTCAAGATAGTGTGATAATGGCAAAAGGATAGACATATAGATCAGCAGAATAGAACTGACAGCCAAAAATAAACCCATACAATTATGGCCAATTGATTTTTAAAAAGACTGCCAAGAACATTCAATGGATAAAGTATAGTCTTTTCAACAAATGATGCTGGGACAACTGGATATCCCCATGCAAAAGAATGAAGTTGGAACCCTTCCTCACACCATATACAAAAACTAACTCAAAATGAATCATAGGCCTAAATGTAAGAGCTAAAACTATAAAATTCTTAGGAGCAGATCTTAGGAGTAAGTCTGATGGATACATCTTTGTGATCTGGAATTAGGCAATGGTTTCTAAGATATGACACCCAAAGCACAAACAACACATGGCCAATAAGCATATGAAAAGATGTTCTACATCAATAATCATTAGGAAATGCAAATCAAAACCACAGTGAGGTAACACTTCAAACCTACTAGGATGGCAATAATGAAAAAGACAGACAATAACAGATTTTGGTGAGGATTTGGAGAAATTAGAATAGTGATAACATTGCTGGAAGATTTTTAAATGGTACAGTTGCTGTGCAAAACAGTTTAATAGTTACTCAAAATGTTAAACATGGAGTTACTATATGATCAAACAATTCCACTGATATCTAAATCTCCAAGAGAACTGAAAATATATGTCTACATAAAGCTTGTACATGAATATTCATTAGCAGCATTATTCAAAATAGCCAAATGCACCCATAAAAAAGAATAAAATCACACATTTGCAACAACATAGATGCAGCTAGAGGCCATTATCCTTAGCAAATTAACACAGAAACGGAAAACCAAACACTGCATGCTCTCACTTATAAGTGTGAGCTAAACATTGGTTACAAATGGCCCCAAAGATGGGAAAAATAAACACTGGGGATTCCAAACGGCGGAGTGAGGGAAGAGGGAAGGGTTGAAAACCTACCTATTGGGTACTATGTTCACTACTTGAGTGAACATTAGAAGCCCAAATTTGGCATCACATAATATATACACCCATGTAACAAACCTGCACATATACCCCCAAATCTAAAATTTAAAATAAATAATTTCAGAACCCCGAGCTAACGCTGGATCTGGAAAATTGTGTTTATTACATGTTCACAGAACTTATACACGTTGTTCTTATCTCCTCTCCAAAAGAAATAGATCAGTAGCTATCATCACTTATTAATTAAATTGGGGGTCATTATATCTTCAACAGAATCAACTGTCTTCCACAGAAATGTAATCTTTCAAAATCTGAGATACAGTGAGACATTTTTAATGAAATTTATTAATTTAGTGTAGTTCTCCTGCTTTGTGATTTTCCTGTATCATGTCAGTAGGCATTTTTTAAAGCTTTAAAATATTTTCCTGTAATTTTTGCATTTATACAATAAAAATAAATTTCATTTGCTGACATCAAAAAATTAGCCAGAAATAGAAGCAATTTGAATGTCCATCAACTGGTGAATGGATACACAAAATGGAGAATATTAATTCAGCCATAAAAAGGAATAAAATATGAGGTGGGCGGATCACTTGAGGTCAGGAGTTCAAGACCAGCCTGACTAGCATGATGAAACCCCACATCTACTAAAAATACAAAAGTTAGCTGGACGTGGCTGGTGGTGCACGCCTGTAATCCCAGCTACTTGGGAGGCTGAGGCAGGAGAATCACTTCAACCTGGGAGGCGGAGGTTGCAGTGAGCCAAGATCGTGCCATTGCACTCTAGCCTGGGCAACAAGAGCAAAGCTCTGTGGGGGGGAAGAATAAAACAGCGATACATGCTATAACATGAATGAATCTTGAAAGCATTATGATAAATTAAAGAAGCCAGGGCCAAGTGCAGTGGCTCACACCTGTAATCCCAGCACTTTGGGAGGCCAAGGGGCAAGATCACTTGAATTCAGCAGTTCAAGAAAAGCCTGGCCAAGATGGCGAAACCCCGTCTCTACCAGAAACGCAAAGCATTACTCGGATGTGGTGGCATGTGCCTATGGTCCCAGATCCTCAGGAGGCTGAGGTGGGAGGATTGCTTGGGCTTAGGAGGCAGAGGTTGCAATGAGTTGAGATTGCTCCACTGCACTCCAGCCTGGGTGACGGAGTGAGACACCATCTCGAGAAAAAAAAAAAAAAAGTCAAACACAAATGGCTACATATTGTATAGTTCCATTTATGTGAAATGTCCAGAAAAGGCAAATCCACAGAGGCAGAAAGTAGATTCTCGGTTGCCAAGCGCGGAGGGAAGGGTGCTGGCGAGTGAGTATCGATGGGTACCGGATTTCTTTGAGGAGTGATGAGAATGTTCTAAAATTGATGTGACAATTGTTGCATAACTCTGTCAATACCTAAAAACCATTGAATTGTACTCTTTTTTGGTGATACTGTTACTATGCATTTTCTTATTTTTAAAAATTGTGGCAAAATACACATATGATTTACCATCATAACCATTTTTAAGTGCACAGTTCAGTGGCATTAAATACAGTCACAACGTTATACAACCATCATGAGAACTTTTTCAAACAGCAGAATACCTACTAAATGATAACTCCCCGTGTTCCCGCTCCCCAACCCTGGCCAGCCATTCTATTTTCTGTATCTGTGAATTTGGCTACTCTAGATACCTCATATAAATGGAATTACACAGTATTTGATTTTTATGCTTGGCTTATTTCACTTAGCAGTATGTCTTCATGGTTCATCCATGTTGTAACGCGTCAGAATTTTCTTCCTTTTTAAGGCTGAATAATATTCTATTGTATGCATATACAAAATTTTATTTACCCGTTCATCCTTCAATTTTGGTTGCTTGTACCTTTGGGCTATTGTGAATAATGCTGTTACAGACATAAGTGTATAAATATCTATTTGAGTCCCTGCTTTCAATTCCTTCTTTTTCTTTTTCTTTTTTTTTTGAGACAGAGTCTTGCTCTGTCCCCAGGCGCAGTGGCACAATCTTGGCTCACCACAACCTCTGCCTCCCGGGTTCAAGCATTTCTCCTGCCTCAGCCTCCCGAGTAGCTGGGACTACAGGCATGCACCACTATGCTCAGCTAATTTTGTATTTTGGTAGAGACGGGTTTTCACCCTGTTGGCCAGGATGGTCTCCATCTCTTGACCTCGTGATCTGCCCGTCTCAGCCTCCCAAAGTGCTGGGATTACAGGCGTGAGCCACCGCGCCCTGACTTTTTTTTTTTTTTTTTTGAGATGGAGTCTTGATCTGTCACCCAGGCTGGAGTGTAGTGGCGGCTCTCAGCTCACTGCAACCTCACCTCCTGGGTTCAAGTGATTCTCCTGGCCTCAGCCTCCCAAGTAGCTGGGATTACAGGTGTGTACCACCATGTCCAGCTAATTTTTATATTTTTAGTAGAGATGGGATTTCACTGTGTTGGTCAGGCTGGTCTCGAACTCCTGACCTCAAGAGATCTGCTCGCCTTGGCCTCCCAAAGTGCTGGGATTACAGGCATGAGCCACCGGGCTTGGCCCCTGCTTTCAATTCTTTGGGGTAAATATCCAGAAGTGGGATTGCTGGATCATATGGTAATTTTTACCTTTTCGAACTGCCATACTGTTGTCCATAGCAGCTGTACCATTTTATTATTTATTTATTTATTTTTTGAGATGGAGTCTTGCCCTGTCACCCAGACCGGAGTGCAGTGGCATGATCCCGGCTCACTGCAACCTCTGCCTCCTGAGTTCAAGCAATTCTTGTGCCTCAGCCTCTGAAGTAGCTGGGATTACAAGTGCCCGCCACCATGCCTGGCTAACTTTTTTGTATTTTTAGTGGAGACAGGGTTTCGCCATGTTGGCCAGGCTGGTCTTGAACTCCTGACCTCAGGTGATCCACTTGCCACGGCCCTCAGAGTGCTGGGATTACAATCGTGAGCCACTGTGCCCAGCCGCAGCTGTACCATTTTACATTAAATTGCTTTAAAAGGGTGAATTTTGGCCTGGCACAGC